GAGCCCAAACATGTCACTAGGGTCGAGATGGAGTTCGACTTGGCCATCCATGATAGCTGCCAGGCTGACTTTGTTGGCGTCGGGGGGCGATGCCTGCGAGCCAATGAGACGATCATGCACCCCCTCGAAAGCTTTACGATACTCCTCCTCCTGCTGGGAAATCTGTCGAAGCACATCCTTGATTTGCTGAGCCTGCTGTTCCAACAAAGCTTGTGTCTTATCATGACCCATATTGGCCAGCTTATCCTCCAAATGTTTGGGCATGCGATTGGTTTCGTTAGCTCTCTGCTGGGCTGGGGCTCGGGCACGGAACTATCTGGAGCCAACTTTGCTCCGTAAATGTCTGCTGTCTTCTTGACACCAAGCTTTTCGCACAGGGCCACCAATTGGGCCAGCTCAGCGTTCGACACCGTGGGCTCCCCTGTGCGGAAAGGGGATTGTGAGCTTTGATCGGCAAAAGTCGGGGCGGGAGCTGAACGGCGGGAATGCTCTGGCCACAACCTGAACTTCGTGGTAGAGGGCTCGACATCCTTCCAACTATTCCCACAATGCTTGCACCATGTCCAGGACCACTTGTTTTGGCGCATCCACACGAACCACAACGCCAAGCTGCCCGAGGCTTGCCGTCACCAGTAATAGGCGCCATGGTGTTGCCAAGCTCGTGCCTGGCACGGTCGTTGTGAAGACTGGGCTCCACCAGGAGATCACCGAGAATCAACGAATCAACCTCGCCTGGCCCGGCAAACGAGGGGGAATGGTAGGGGCCGCTGCTCCCCTCTGCCAAAAAGATCAGGTCCTGAGCCTAAGCACTCTGGATTTGAGCCAAAACGGCTACGGTCCTCCTCCTCCTCCTCCTTCTCCTCCTCCTCCTCCTTCTCCTCCTCCTCCTCCTCCTCCTCCTCCCCCTCCTCCCCTTCGTCCCCCTCCTCCTCCTCCTCCTCCTCCTCCTCCTCCTCCTCCTCCTCCTCCTCCTCCTCCTCCTCCTCCCACTGCTCCTTCTCCACGTACCTTCTCCTTCTCCTCATCATCTAACTCGTGCTTCCGCCCGCCTCCGCCCAGCCTTCCAACGGTTTCACCAAAGGGCCCCCCCCATCGTTTTGCTTCCTCCGGCGTCCGCCGTCATTCCCCCTCGGCTTATGCCGAGGGCGAGGTGCGACGGACGCGAGGCCCAGAGCCCCACTTGCCCCAGACGGTCGCACCCCCGAGTGCCCAAAGCGGTGAACAGTAGGCACATCAAGTCAGGAACTGGCTTGCTAACATGCGCCCCACGAGAATTATGTGTTCCCAATGGGCCCGCTCGAAGCTCAACCGACGAAGAATGTCCTCCTGCATTTCTTGCAACAAGATGTCATGTCTGATTTGCCCACTGCATCGGGCACTGATTCGAACGATGCCCTGGAGATCTCCTGGCGGGTGGGCCACGCGCCTGAACTTGAGTTTGAACCGCCAGCGTCAGCCGTTGCGGGAGATGAAACGCCTCCTCCTCCTCCTCCTCCTCCTCCTCCTCATCATCATCATCCTCCTCATCCTCCTCCTCTTCCCCCTATTCCTCCTCCTGCTCCTCCGCCTCCTCCGCCTCCTCCTCCTCTTCCTCCTCCGCCTCCGCCTCCTCCTCCTCCCCCGACTGCCTCCTCCGCCTCTTCTCCGCTCCGCCTCCGCCTCCAAGTCCTCCTCCTCCTCCTCCTCCTCCTCCTCCTCCTCCTCCTCCTCCTCGTATTAATAGTATTATTCGTATTCTTAGCAGTATGATTATGTTTAGTCTTCTTCATATTATTAGTAGTATAAATATTAATGTTAGTAGTAGTATTGTTATTCTTCTTCTGAATAATATTCGTTTTCTTCTTATCATAATCAGTCATAATGTGATTATTAGTAGTAGCATTATTTAGAATATTATTAGTAGTATTCTTCTTAGTCTTATTATTAGTAGTGTTATTATTCGCCTTCTTAATATGTTTTTACTATTATTGGTGGTATTACTTAAATTATTATTAGTATTAGTATTATTATTAGTATTATTATTATTATTATGAGTAGTAGTAGTAGTAGTAGTAGTAGTAGTAGTAGTAGTAGTAGTAGTAGTAGTAGTAGTACTAGTATTAATACTATTAGTTTTGCTGTGCTTCCTCTTCTTCTTATTATTAGCGTCCTTAATTTTCCTCCTCCTCCTCCTCCTCCTCATCCTCCTCCTACTCCTCCTCTCTTCCTCCACCCTCCCCCTCC